CGGTAATGTCCACTTCGCAGGGCACTTACAGTCAATATAACAAACGTATGAAGCAATAAGAGAAACATACAAAATGTGCAGAGCGGGGGTACGCGAGGACGGGAATTGAGAACCGCTGTTCTAGACATGCAAAACATTTGACGCTACAGCACAGCAGCTCTTCTTCTTGGTTTTCTCTGATGCACTAACTCTGCAGAAGCACTTCTTCTTTGTCGTCTCGCCTCATGCACTCACTCAACTAAGCGTTCTAACCACGACCACGACCTCGCCCCTCCCCACCCCCCAACCATTCGAATTTCTGTAGGCGGGAATTCTTTGTAATGAAATTCTAATGAGCCGCTTTGTGATATCACAAAGCCCAGAAAACAAACGCTGTAGTCCAAACGAGCCGTTTGCTGTAGTTCTTGAAAATGGATTTTTAAAAAACTAAATATCTCCCTTTGGAGTGGACTTTGAGATTTGTAACTTTCTAGATCTTTTTAATGCCCAAACATACACACTACACACTGACTAAAATAAAAAATGAAAAAGCATAATAGGACCCCTTTAAGGAAGCGTTACCAAAAATGTTACAAAAGCGTACATAAACTTCCTGCAGACTGGGGTGTCTGATACCCCATGTTTTTGTATGGAATCCAAAAAAATCTCACACGGACAAGATAATTTTTTCGAGTGTTGAAAGCGAGTGTCTTTTTTCATCCATCATCTCATCCAGCACGATTTTGTGTGGCAGTATTGGAATGTCAACCAGACTGGCACTGCATTATTGGTAGAACTTTGTCATAAGCAGCTGAGATATTACATAAGTGTGATCAGTCTGAACCTGCAAAAAACACTGTGGAGCTATTACTACTTTCTTGGCATTATCAGAAAGACTTTTGGGAGGCTCTGTAACATATGTTCCCACATTTATTCACAATCTCTTGCTGCTGGCCTGGTCTTCCTGTGAATCTCAACTTCAGCACACATCAGTCAATGCATTTTTTTACCTTTATTTGTATAGTGCTTTATACAATACTGATTGCGTCAAAGCAGCTCTACAGTGTCAAACAGGAAAATAGATTGTCAATAATGCAAGAGGACAATAACGGAGTCATTTTTCCAGCTAAAGTTAGTTCATTGATGATTCAGTTCAGCTCTCTTCCAAAAGTGTCTGTGCATGCAATCAGTCAATCATCCCCAACTAGCCAAAGGTGACAGTAGCAAGGAACCAAAACTCCATCTGTGACAGAATTGGAGATAAAACCTTGGGAGAAACCAGGCTCAGTCAGGGGGCCAGTTCTCCTCTGGCCAGACGAAACCAGCATGGCGTGGTTTAATTCCAGGCTGCAACCCAGGTCAGATTGAGCAGAGCACTTGTCTGGTACCCATGGTCTTGTGACGAGGTCTTCACAGGGGATCTGTCTGTAGGATTCGTCTAGTTGACATGGTCTCCGCTGACATTCAGGGCTGTAGAGGTCATCTCTAGGTTCTGATCCACCATCTGGACTGGATACAGACTGAACCTGTGTGGCTACGGTGACTTCGGAATAAGAATGAAAGAGACCAATATTAGCGTAGATGCCATTCTTCTTATGATGTAGCAAGTACATCGGATGTTATGGGAAGTGTTCCCGGTTCCGGTTGACCTAATTAATGCAACCTAACAATCCTTTAACGGATCTGAATTATAGAAATTAGATATTATGTGTATGCCAGGTTAAAGAGATGGGTTTTAATCTAGATTTAAAGAGTGGCAGAGTGTGTCTGCCTCCCGAACAACGCTAGGTAGATTGTTCCAGGGTTTTGGTGCTAAATAGGAAAAGGATATGCTGCCCGCAGTTGATTTTGATATTCTAGGTATTATCAAATGGCCAGAGCTATGAGATCACAGCAGACGTGAAGGACAATGCATCTGAACATACTTACTCCAAGGTTCTGAGTTTAAAATCTTTGATTATTCTTCCCACAGAATCATGTGGATCATCAGTTTCTCAAAGAATCATTAAAGAGCTTACAAGCCTGTGTATAGATTTCAAAACACATATCATAAAACATATATTAACATAACTGAACTACAGCATCTGGTTCTCTTCCTGTTTCTCTTTCCTACAGGGGATCGCATTGTAAAAGTCAATGGAGAAAGCATCATTGGAAAGACATATTCACAAGTAATTGCCCTTATCCAGAACAGGTAATGTTGCAACTTGTGTTGTCTGATCCAGCCCCTAAGGGGTGGTGTAGCCTTCATGGTTAAAGATCTGCTCTTGTAACTAGTTGTAGTTTTTGATTTTAAACTAAATTTGACCTAAACCAGGAATACTTGCTGCTCTGTAGCCATATGCCCCTATTTCCCTTATTTTGTGGGTTGATTATCTGTTCCTGCTAAGTCTTGATCTAGATAAATCTCTTAATCCTTGAGGAAGTTTAATGAATATGCTGTTTATTGCGTAATTTTAGTTGGAATTAACAGGTAGCAGTCCTTCCTTTTTCTTGAAATTACCTAAAAGCACTGTTATCATGACTGTAGTCATGACTTCATCTGTAATATTATGTTTTACCCTTTCAAAACTTTTCTTTGCAGTGATACATCTCTGGAGCTCTGCGTGATGCCAAAAGATGAAGACATTTTACAGCTGGTAGGTTTGATTTCGATTTCTTGCGCAAAAAGATTAATTCCTCTTCAGGCTTTCATATTAGCTGGTTAACCTTGGTCATTTAAACTGAATTCTTTGAGGAAATTCAAGTTCCCTCATCTGCCCTCTTGTTTTTAATGTTTTGGACAGTAACGTATGTTCAGGTATTCAATGCTGAATGAGTGGTGTGTGTGTGTGTGTGTGTCATGATCAAAAGACTTTTGACATTTCATTGAAAATTAAATTACTCAAGTAAAATAACTGTGGGAAGGTGAGCAGACCAGTGGAAACAAACAGCACCAGTTTGTGTGTGAAGATGCTTTCCCAGCCAGAGTTCAGTGATCCAGCGGAGCAGAGAAGCGTGATGGCGCCTGTTTGTGTGTGTATGTGTGTGTGTTTATTTTGAATTCAGCTATAATGAGGTTTTCCTCAGAACTAGGGGCATAATGCCACCCTCATATCTGAGCACATTCCAGATGGAGCTCCACATCTCAGGCTGTCACATGCCAACCACATAAACTGAAACTCCACTATGGAGCCCTCGGGCACTTTCTGACTTGACAGTCCATCCAGGGCTGAATTTAAGACTTACATAGGAATGGCACTCATGCTTGTTATTTCAGCTAACAGGAAGTGGTTCTCTATGACAACAAGCTCTCTATGACACCTCTGATATGATATCAATCTCTGATTCTAGCAGAGATTGATGTCATATCACATCACACAGACATTTATTTATTTATTTTACTCTTTGAGGTATTATTTCTATTGCTTTCAGGTATTGTTTTGTTACTTTTTTGTGAATTAAAAAAAAGCAATCAGGACAGAGAGTAAGAACATATTAAAAGTTTATCGACCCTCATAATCTTTATTTTTGACCTATTTTATTTATTTAGACATTTTCATCAATCAGTGTTTCAAAACCTGGTAACTTTTTTTTTTAGATATGCAATTTATGTTTTAACTTAGAAGTGTAGATCGTTGCTGAGGATTTTACCAAAAGTTGCATATTTGCTTATTTAAATTATGAATAGAAGTTGTGACCATTTTTCGATCACTGACTTACAGTAGTCAGAGATGGCTTTTCTTTTTGTCTTCCCTCGTGTAGACTGACTGTTGCCTGCAGCTCAGTGTCTGTTGCTTCCATGCTGTTGAACCCATGAATATTAATAACTGTTTGCATTCAGCCAAGGTGATTTGCTGAAATTAAAACACGGAGAGTGGATTTATCACTTGTGTGTTAGACCCACCCACTGCTGAAGCAACCAGCTAGAGAACTTCTGTTTCATCTAAAGTCTTTGTTTTACGTGACGGCTCAAATTATTTTCCTTATACCATCTGTGATTAAGCAAAAAAAACAAGAAACAAAAAAATGTAAAGTAACTAAAGTGTTCAGTAATTTCTAAAAGTCAGGACAGTGCTACGCCACTGGAATTTTTTTTATTGACCTTATTTCTGTGCATTCCTGGATTGCCTTATCTGTGAAGCAAAAAAAAAAAAAAAAAAAAAAAATCTTACAAAGCAGCATAAGTTATTTGAATGATTATGACTACGAGTACTTTTTACACATAACCTGTATGTAAAATGTATTAAATTTAGGGCAAAAGCTGTAATCTAACATTGCTTTATGACAATGCTGATGAAAAACAAACATTAGCAGTTAGTTATGTATAAAGAATGGATGTAGGCAGAGTAGGGGCAGATATAAGGATTAAATTACCATGTGTGTTTAAGAAGAATATACTGTATGTAATCGAAAGGGCAACAAGTACAGCATGCAAAACAGTCAGCTGATCAGATCCAAAGCAGCACTTTGCAAAGCGCATGTTTTGACTGTGAAACACTGCAGCATCTTGAAACAAACAGGTAAAGGACAAACAAAGATGAAAGGTAAAAAATGCATAACACCAAGGCAGGTATAGATTTAAAAGTACAGTATGTCCATCCATTTTTTTACTTATTTGTAGGTCAAATTCATTCTCTGATCTTTTTTCCTTTGCACTGCTTTGGCTACGTTTTAAATCCACTTTGCCAGATAACGCGTACTTTGTCAAAAATATCAGACAATGTGTTTTACTTGTATTTTCACAACTTATTTTGTATGAGAAAATATAATTTTTAGCAGGTTTTTATTATTTATTAATTTATTTTTGGATTCATGGAGTGAAATCCAATGTGGAAGTGGTCACAGAAGGCACATCTGAGACCCATATTACCACCCGGTGTAGACAGCAATAAGTCTTAGCTGAGCACTTGTAATTGGACCACCTGAAGTGGATCTTAATATCAGGTATAAATGGGTCCAAAGAGCATACAAACAACAGAGAAAAATAACTAATTGAAACTGCCATCCGAAAAGACAGGGACTGTGCAGTCACTGTGTGGTTGGAAAGGAGCCACACTAGGCAAGATAGGCATAAGCTTGTGTGTGTGTGTGTGTGTGTGTGTGTGTGTGTGTGTGTGTGTGTGTGTGTGTGTGTGTGTGTGTGTGTGTGTGTGCAAGCTTTACCAGGTCCAGAGACCATGTCACTTCATCTCCAACTGGGGCAGCACAATCACAAAACAAGCCCAATAGAACTGCAGAGTCCACTGGATTTTCCAACCTTACCCCCAGAACTGCACAGACTTGCGTAGACACAAAGCCTTTATCGTCCCACAGACATACCCTAACCACAACAGCAGAAACCTTCCCCTCAGCCACCTCTCCCACCCCTTACACACCCTCCCCTCCACCTGCCACCCCCTCCCCCTGCTCTCCCCACCAGAACATTGACTGGAGGAACTACACCACCTACAAGGAATACATTGACAACAAACGGATTTACATGTACGGCTCCCGGCCTATTCACGA